GTGAGTCTCTAAAATCATTTTCTGACCTTTACACACCATACACAAAAATAAACGTTTGAAGAAGTGTAAATCTTACAAAGTCCTATACTTACTTACTATGTGCAAGGCATTGTCCTGGGTCTTACAGGAACACATCTTCAGAATGGAGTGGGGAAAGGAACACACACACTTTAATACAAGTGGATTTTGATGTGGGTGGAAGTGTAACCCTGGGGCTGGGAGACTACCTGTGGAGTCTGGGACAGGAAGGGCTACAGTGGTTGTGGAGGCTTGTAGGTAGAGAAGTGAAGTCCTGTCAGGCTAGAGGGACAGTCTGTGGCAGGGAGCCAGAGCTAGGGAGCCACACACAGGGAAGAATGCCCCAGAGATCTGAGAGTGGCAAAGAAGGCCAGATCATGCAGGCAGTTCCCACAGGGAGAGGGGCCCAGCAGGAGTACTAAGCTGTAAGCTCCAGGAGGATAGGCCTGCTTCATGCACACTGGTGGAGGACAGGGGAGAGCAGCTGAAAACTCTCAATACCATCTGTGGATGCATGTGGTTCCTATGACAACAGTAGGACCAGAGGGCAGCCATAAAAGATGAGCAAGAGATCCTTGATGAGTCCTAGAATTTGAAGGGGCCAGGAAAGGCCATCTGGAGAAGCAGGTGAAAAGCATGGCATCACTGAGGTGCAGACAGAGCTAGGAAGTGTCCAGGATGCAGCAGAAACATAGACCAGGAGCATCTCTAGAGAGAGGGAAGAACAGCACAGAACCACCAAAACACTCAGGGTGTGTGGAGCCCTCTTCCCCTCCAAGTGGAGGGGAAGGAAGGGCCAAGGAGTGGAAAGCAGACTGGGGAGGACATTATAGAATGGCCGAAGGAGGGGAGGGGAGGGGAGGGATACTGGACACATTTGCCACTCTTAGGCCATGATGCCCCAGACCACTCACCACCTAAGTGCTTCATATTGTAAAGCTGAGTGGACATTTTACCAGACACCTCAGTGGTTGGCTTGGTCCCTTCCAGCTGAAGGGTTATCTCCAGTAGTGGGTGGAGTAGGCTGTCTCCCTTGCTCCTTCCATCCTGTCCCCTCAGCAGACCTGTTATGACATGGTCACTGGAGGGTAGCTGGACTCTGGCACTCACATGGACTCCAGGGGTGCAGTAAAAATCCATGCCTGTTGCAGTGTGTGTGAAGGGACACATAAACAATGACTGTCAGTTAATTGGCTAGAAACGCTGTTGAGAGTTTTTAGTACACATTGACTCCCAGGTTCAGGTTAAATAATGGGCTGGCAAAGAATTCCTTAGAGCTTCCAGCCCAACTGGACTACTGACTTGGATGTTCTTGGGATGAAACACTGCTTAGCTGGGGGAGAGGAGGCTAGAGCCTGGGCTTGTGCAATGGGATTAGCTTAAAATCTACTGGTTGGCTCTCAAGGGCAAATTGGGAAGACAGGGATGTGGGTAGATATTCGTGGGTCAGCCTGAAGCCTGAAGTTGGTGATCAAGAAATATTTTTTACAATAACTGCCTTTTGGCATCTATGTTCACTTTCCCAAGGAAATCTAGTGTGGAAAATTCCAGATATAACTAGTTACAAAGTCCTTCCCTCAGTTAAAGAACTTATTGCAGTCTTCCTTACACGGTGACTTAGTGTTACATGAAAATTCAACTCAGGCCCTCAGTCTATTATCTGGTCCCTAACTGCAACCATCGCCACTTAGGGAACTCTGACTTGGCCAGCTTTCTCTGTTTCCCTTCTTTTTTCTCCTCTTGCCAGATCCAGGAGGGCTTTGTGTGTGTGTGTGTGTGTGTGTGTGTGTGTGTGTGTGTGTGTGTGTGTGTTGTGTGTATGTCATTTTAATATATTCAGTATTTCCTAAATAGACTGTGCTTGTATGCAAGGTTAGTCACCTCCTTTATTAGGACATGGTACTAATTTGCTCATGAATAATGGCACACCATAAAAGCACACACCACACCGGGCACCCGATCTGACCTCTTCTACTCCATGCCAGCACAACAGGCTCTAAACTGCAGTGGCTGCAGAAGCTGAGAGAGATAAACAGGGTGGCGGGTGGGGAGGAAGTTCTTACTCAAATCTAAATACAGCCGCTGCTTGCTGATCCAAGAGCTGAGATCACCGGGAGAGATTGCAAGCAAACTTTTCTGGTGCTGATTCTTCTGAGCAACAGGTCTCGGCCTGCTCCTGCCACTCAGGGGACAGGTGAGGAGAGAAACAGAGGCATGGTCTGTGTAGGAAAACAAATGCTGGTTTGGGTTTTATCTTCCAAAAGCATCAGTGCTTCCTATAAAGTAGATCCTTTTAACCAGTCTTCAACACAGGTTGTAATGAAACTCAGTCAGGTCCCCAAAAACTGCAGGGCCAAGGTAGAAAGGAGGCCCCTTTGGGGACTTCAAATGCACCCAGGAGCACGTTCTTGTGTAGAGCTAATGTGGGTTGGCTGTGGAAATCTCCGGCGTTTGCCAACTGCTTCCCTAATGCCGGTAAGTAACCAAACTATGGGATCGATGCAACACAAGGGCCTACAAAGGCAGGTGAAGCTGGGATTGAGAGCCAAGGGGCCCAGGATGGTGTGACGAAGGCACTGGGGCATCATGGGGCTTCAGGGCAACATAAATCTCCAGCCATCACAAAAGGCTCTTCTGTAAAGGGGACAGGCTGAATAACAATTTAACAAGTTGATTTATTTAAAGTGCTTGGAATAGGGCCCAGCACATAAGACTCCGTTTAATAATAATCATCTATTAAAATCCATAGAAAAGGTTACTGCAAGACAACATGGGAGCCACTCTTCAGAGGGCTGCTCTTCTTCAGGGAACTCGGATTTTCTCTAACGACTTGAGGGTGCTGAGGACAGCAATGAAGGTGGGACTCATGTGCTGATGATTTTACAAGTATCCAGACTATCACATGCAGTGCCCTGTGTGCTTATCTTATTATTCCAATTTCCCCTCTGACCCACGACAAAGTCTGAGGAACCGGTGGGAAAACATGAAAGGGAAGACTTCTGAAGAAAGCGTCTGTCTCCTTCAATGCCAATGGTTACAACTACTTAAGATGGTTGAGTGGCAGTCACTAAGATGGGCCCATGCTTGATCCCCTGCACTGCAAACTATGCAAAATCACCCAGGAGCTCACTAAAACTACAGTCACATTTTATATCTCTCTATATAAAGTTGTCTTGAAGTCACTTGCCTGTGGCTGCTGGGGATTCATCTCTCCAGTTAGCCTAAATGGATCTCACATGTTCCCAGTTCTGTAGACAACGCCTTTCTCTTGCCCTCGTCTCTCCCATCTTCCCTCCCCATTTCTCTTCACTGTGGATGGAGCCAGGCAAGCTCTCTCTCACTGAGCAACAACCCGTGGATCTCACCTTTCTACTAATTTAGGAAATTAAATTTAACCTAACACTATAACTGGGGCTGGAGAGATAGCTCAGCTGTTAAGAGCACTTACTGCTTTTGCAGAGGACCCTTTTGGGTTTCCAGCACCCACATGGCAGCTCATCCCTAATTCCAGTTCTAGGGGATACGATGCCCTCTTCTGACTTCCTTGGGTACCAGACATGCACATAGTGTACGTACACTCCTGCAGGCAAACTGTTCATACTCATAAAGGTAAATCGGTAAGCAATCTTTAGACTCAATCGAAGAGAAGGCAAAAGAAGCCAGCACACACATTACACTGGTAAGATCTGTGCCCTTTAGCTCTCATACAGCTGCATTCCCTTCTGGGTCTCTAGTTTCACAAACAAAATGGGGCAAGCAAAGCAGTTGTGAAGAAAAGTGACTTTAAAAACCTTTGGGGCCTTTATTGGCTTGGGATTCTAAACTCAGGGAGACCTGATGAAACTGACAAGATTACTTCAGGCTTGAGTCTACTCGGATCCTCTCTGGGGTGGTGAAGTGTCTTTTAAAGCCACTGACACTATTCAGTGTTCTTAGACAGTAGATCTACTCCATGGATTTTCTAATTCAATTTTCTAACTCTCTGGGGCAAGTTTCCCATGTAACACGTGACCTCAGAAATGAAAATCAAGGGTAAAAAAAAATCACAGTGTGGGCATAGGTCAAAACTACAGTGGTCCCTACCACTACCTCAACAGTTCTATGAAAAGCAAGGCCAATGACACAAGACTGCCCCAGAAGGATGGGCAGCAGAGTCTAAGAAGCAAGCAGGAAAACTGGGGATTAGAAACACAAGGAGAACTAGAAAGAAGGCAGAAGAAACGAAGGCAGAGGGGAAAGGAGAGTGGCAGAGAGGACAGAGGCTGAGGGTTCCACCACACTTGGCAGTTGGCTGGCTCACAGAAGCATGTGGGTGTGTGGCAAGGGGAGGGAGTATGGACATGAGGCAACAGTACCTGGTTTGAGCATGGCTAGAAGGTGTCTTGGTCTACTCATAAATATCTACACTAGCAAGAGCTTTCATAAGGCAGTCTTAATGCAGAGCCTACCCTCAAGAAGACAGTTTCATGCCTTAGCTTCTCCATGCTTTGAACTTCCTGGGACCTCCTGATCATTATATACAAACAAGCCCACCACAGGGATTCATTCAAAGATAGGAGACAGAAATAAGTCCGATGAAACACCCAGTGCAGGAACCCCTGGTGACCTATGAAAGTTAGGGACTCACTGTCCCCAGTTGGTGCTGTCATCAAGGGGGCCCTGGGATCCTTGGTAGCCAGCACTCAGCAGAAGACAGAAACATCCTCCCACCAACACTGAAGCAGAGCACAGCAAAACCCTCACTGGGGAATGTAGTCATGTAATTCCCACTTGGCAGAAATGTATGGCTGGCTGAAGAACAAAAGGAGCCATCTGCATCCAAGTCGCTGCTGCCTCTTAATCCCTTAATTAGACTAAGTCCTTCAGAAGGAAGCACCAGTCAAGTGACTGAAGGAAGGAAACCAGAGCGAGCACACACATACACACACACACACACCCCTGCATGTGTATGGATGTGAATAAATACTCAGGTGAAAGGCTCATAGTATAAGAAAGAATCTATTTGTTTATTTATTGAAAAGCCATGATCTATAACATTCAAGTCAGTTCTCTCAGGAAGGCAACTTGGGGGAAAGGTGGTGAGAAGATGAGCTGGCAACCTGTGGCATGTTAAAAGATGCTGAGCTGCCTGGGGTTCACCGCACTCTGACTTCAGGCCAGAGCATCGGCTGTGTGCCAGCCCTGCAGTGTGCTGGCAGCTGCGTGGCCAGAGACCCTGGCTAGTGTGAAGTCATCTGGAAGCTTTCTTCTTCTTTTTCACGGGTGCCTTCTCTAGTGTGGTGTCTATTTCTACCCGCCCTGGCCTTTGCAGCTTTTTCTTTGCTTTCCTCTTCTTGGACTTCAGGACATCACCCTGGCTGCTGGGTGATTGTTCACAATCTTCTTCAGCTTCGGCAGAGGCTTCAGAACACTCATCCCCGCTGGGACCTCCAGGTTGCAGCTCAAGTCGGTCTCTCTTCTTGATCACAGGCTCCACCTCTGCTTTCGCTCGCCTTTTCTTTTTATGTCGCTTGGCCTTGTGTTGGGGAGAGTTCTCCACATCTGTGACTGCTGCTTCTTTGGTTTTTTTCTTCTCCTTTTTCCATTCATCAGAGGTCTCTGAAATGTCAGGCTCTGGAGCTGAGGCTCGTGGCTTGCTTTTTAACTGGGCCATCCTCTTGGCAAAATATTCCTGGATGGTGAAGGCACTGGTTGTGGTAGTCATCATGGAGGTGTCCACTTCATCTGCAATGGAGGTGCTGCAACCATCCTGGGGGAGAAGAGTGAAAAGCAATTAGCATCACTCATTCATACCAGGAAGTAGCCAGGAGGAGCCTCATGGAGCCACTCATGCTGGCCCTGACTTGCTGAGCCCAGAACAAGGGGGTGACACTGACTGAAAACCATGGGGGGAGAAGGCCAGACAGACTTCATCTGGCAAGTGGCTTCACTGACTTCTAAGGAAACACCACTGTAAATGAGGACTAAGCTCAGAGTCTCCTGCAGACATCAGGGACATGAATGCTCTGGAGCTTTGTGATTCTGCAGGTTCTTCTGTGCTGATCTAGAAACTCCGACATCCTGTGTACAGGGTACATGTGGCTGGCCATGCTCTGCTAGTGCAACTCTCTTAATTACAAAGTAGCACATACTGAACTCTGAATTTTCTTGACACAGTAGCCCTCAAAAGTTTTAGTGGAGATTAGTTCTGTTTGAAATCCCGAGAGAATCAACATTCTATTGAATTACAACTGGGTCTTGAAAGGTCACTGCAGCTCAGCGTTCTCACCAAAGGGCATCAACTCCAGTTCATATCAAGTCAACACTGCTTGTATGTTCTCCAGCCCTTGGATCAAGAACAAAATCATGCAGTCTGTCAGTTTTGAAATTTAAACAGTAAAATGTAGAATGAGTGAGATAGGTGGGGAAGTTTAAATACGCTCCTGGTAAAACAGCTCAGTCACTAAGTGCTTGCTGCAAAAGCATAAGAACCTTAGTTCAGTCCCTAAAACCAACTGAAAAGGCCAGGCACAATGGAGTACACCTGTAACTCCACATGGGGAAGTCGAGACAGGCAGATCAGTGAAAGATCATGCTTCAAAAAGCTATTGTGGAGAGCTACTGAGGAAGACACACACAAAAGAGCTGATCTTCTATTCTCTTAGACGAGTGCTTCTCAGCTTTCTTAATGCTGCGACTCTTTAGTAAGTTCCTCATGTGCTAAAACCATGAAAATCATTTTTGTTGCTACTTATAACTATAATTTTGCTACTGTTATGAATCATAATGTAAATATCAAGTTTTGCTGTTATGAATTGCCATTTAATATCTGTGTTTTCTGATGATCTTAGGTAACCCCTGTGAAAGGGCTGTTTGACCCTAACAGGGTTGTGACTCACAGGCTGAGAACCACTATCACAAGACTCATACTGTGAATCTCATACTATTTGCTCATACCAGAGCAAACACATATGTGCATACACACACACAAACATATATATATATATACCTGTCAGTCAGCAAATTTTGCTGGTATCTCATCAGGTCACATCGAAAGAAATAAAAATTAGCTGTCTTAGGACTCCAAAACCAGGTCACTTAGATATTTTGAGTGAGAGCTGGAATTCTGCATGACAGAATGAAACACCTTCTTAAGGCTCTTGGTATTTGCCAATGCCAGGCTGATGGACAAGAAAGATCTTGCCTCCCATGTAAGTGCACACACCCATAGCCATGCATAGACATGGGCGCTGGGAAGGTGGCCCACTAATGTAACAGAGGTCCCATTGATGGCTGCCTGCCGGGTGTGAGCTGCTCTTCTTTGAGCCTGTGTGAGTTTGGAACTAATGTTCAGGCAGGATAGCCTATGGCTCCTCCTGTTCCTTTACTTATTACCTGTAGAATTCCTGTTTTCAATAGTTTAATAGCAGGAACTGGCTGCTGGTATTAATCATCCTTAGTTATTAGGAAACACAAGACCATTTCTGAGTCACTTACTCAATCTCCTGGGTCTCTAATCCCCAGGAAGCATGGTCCTAAGCAATTCCTATGATGGGGAGAAGTTGAGAACTCAGGCATACCACTCAGCTCAGCCAGGCAGAAGAAAAGTGCTGAGTGACAAAGTCCCTGTGAGGAGAGCTGTGGGGACAGCCACCTTCCTTCACCATGGGAAATCTACCTTTTACTAAGGCTTTTAACAGGCTGGCAATCTGATTCCTGAGAGAGCAATGCTCAGGACTCCCATTCTACACTGGCAACTGGAAACCAGTTTCACTACTGATTAAAACCTTGGTTCTGTAAACTTAAAAGCATATGTACCTTTATAAGAAAATGACTATTTTCAAATCTGGTCTAATTTCAAAAACAGTTATGTTTCCAAAAAAGCATTCAGAAACAATTTGCCTTCTTACATTTCCATTAAATACATGACACAACCTCAAAGAAAACCTACCATACTTAAATGTGACTTTTACTACATTGTAAACTTGGAGAATGTCTTAGTTTTATAGTGGTGTTTTAAAAACTGGAAATAGCCTAGATGCCTCTCAACCAAAGAATGGTTAAAGAAAATGTAGTATATCTACACAATGGAGTATTACTCATCAGAAAAAAACAATGTCGTTATGAAATTTGCAGGCAAATGGATGGAACTAGAAAAAAAATCATTCTGAGTGAGGTAATCCAGACCCAGAAAGACAAACACAGTATGTACGCACTCATAAGTGGATATCAGATGTAAAGCAAAGGATAACCAGGCTACAGTCCTCAAGCTCCAGAGAAGCTAGGTAACAAGGACCTTAAGAGGGATGGCTGGATCTCCCAGGGAAGAGGAAATAAATGAGATGTTCTGGGTAACTTGGGAGAGGAAAGTGGTAAAGAGGAGGGGATGGGGGGGGTGGGAAATGAGGGATCAGGATGCTGGAACTGGGGGCTGAATGGAGGGGGGGAGTAATGAAAGAGATATCTTGATAAAGGGGCCAATATGGGGTTAGGGAAAACCTGGTGCCAGGGAAACCCCCAGGAACCCACAAGGATGATCCCAACTAAGACTCCTAGCAATAGTGGAGAGGGTGCCTAAACTGGCCTTCTCCTGTAATCAACTGTTATTGTAGAGCCTTCATCCAGTACCTGACTAAAGCAGATGCAGAGAACCATAGCCAAGCACTGGGCCAAGCTCTGGGAGTCCAGTTGGAGAGAGGGTGGAGGGATTATATGAGCAAGGGAGGGTCAAGATCATGATTGGAAGCCCACAGAGACAGCTAACTTGAGCTTGTGGGAGCTCATGGACTCTGATCTGACAGCTAGGAGGCTGGCATGGGACCGATGTAGGTCCTCTGCATCTGGGTGACAGTTGTGTAGCTTGGTCTTTTGTGGGGCCTCCAGCAGTGGGACTAGGATGTGTCGCTGATGCATGAGCTGGCTCTTTGGAACCTACTCCCTATGGTGGGATGCCTTGTTCAGCCTTGATACAGGGGGGAGGAGCTTGGTCCTGCATCAACTTGATTTGCCATGCTTTGTTGATTCTCAAGGGAAGCCTTACCCCATCTGACTGGAGATGAGGAGTGGATAGAAGGAGTAGAAGCAGGGAGTGGAGAAACTGTGGTTGGTATGTAAAATAAATTAAAAGATGAAAAAAAAGCTAGTAAAAAAACTTCACAATTTTGGGTTCTGTTTAAAATACAATGGGAGGAATGAGTAATTTGTCAAACATTTGATTTAAGCTCAAGAGTTCAGGAAATCTTTCTTAAAAAGGCCTGTGACATGTGTGCACACGTGCCTGCGTGCGGGGGGGGGGGGGGGGGGGGGGGGGGGGGGCCCCCCCCCCAACGTGGGGGGGGG